AGGTCATACGTGGATAATGGTGGACAGGAGAGTTTCACCTTTATTTTGGTAGCAGCGCCCTCTGCCGGAGTAAAGACAGCTTACACCACACCTGCTGGTGCTTACAGAGACGGTCGTTACAATTTTATACTTTTTAATAGGTGGCGCTCTTTCACAAGTTCATTACATCTGTTTTTTTGATTGGCTGCTAAGTTCGGGGGGGGGATTTGTGTTAGTTGAAATGTTTGAAAAAAAGTTGCAATACGTTCTGCATCAATACACATAAAAGATTTACTTCTAGTAATAGGCTTACCATGAATGTAGACCGACCGACGACAGATCCGGCTACGCAATTACTGCGGAAATGCCAATGAACTTGAAGAGCAATGTTGGCCTCTTTCCATCATCAGTCTGTTCTAGTTCTTCCAATCTTTTGGTTTCCGTAGCCTTATACTCAATCATTCAGATTGGCGCTTCATGTCTGGCTAGATGCCATGGAAAGTACTCTAGAAATCCATCGGGGGAATGGTGGAAGGCAAGCTTTTATTTTGTTCTCAACGAGTCTGTGAGTGTGCCGCCGCCTTCTAGCACTCTGGTCGTGCTTCTCGCCTCGCCATACACTGTAGCCTGTATCCGGAACACTTAGCGTGTAAAACCCCTTCTTAATGCACGTTGCTTTTTCTTAAATCGACTAGACGTGCAGACGTAAATTCGCACTGTATCAGCGACTGTAGTGCGTCTCTACGTGACAGGAAAGATAAGAACACCAGATTTACCGCCCCTGAGACTTGATTATTACACCTCCCGTGTATCGACTCGATCTACCCACCCGAGACCGCCGGAACAGAGGGTTATTTTTACTTCATCGCTCGGTAAAAAAAATCAATTCCCTTCCGCCAGTTCCTTCCGTACTTCAACCATTGGTGTCCATCGATTCTCTGCGTGATATACGTTCACCTTCAGAGGAACTGACGAGCATGCACTCGGACTAAATAACAAATCAGCGTCACTTTTGAATGGATGTTCGGTACTACTGCAGGAAAAGATGATATTCAGGTAAACAACTAGACAAAAAACAACGGAATCTCTCGGACCCAATGATGCATATCTAGATAGGGTGTTTTCCTCAGAATATATCCGGTAGCGCATTCCTTGGACAAGAAATGTAACGTTACAGCTTTAAATAACCGGTCCTTTAGATTACCGTATCCCCCAACGCGTGCAACATACTTGGGAGCAAACTTTATTCACCGCGAGGAACATAAAACAATATCACCCAGAATCAATAGTCCCGACACAACTGCAAGAATTACCCTACATGTACGCACCTTTGAGACTTAACACTTGTGTGCCCCATATATCACAACACAGAATTATCGACAACCTGTCTCTTGATATTATCTGCGAAGAGTGACCTTGCAAATTATCGCGATTTGGTCCTCAACGGGAGGACCTAATATTGGTCTGCTGTAGCCAAAATTTATTGAATCAGATCCAACTGTGATGAAATTAACCGGAACACCCCGATGCGTGGGGCGTATGGTTGTCAAGATATGAACAGGTTCTACCAAAACTGTTAGATTTCAAGTATGTGTCCAAAGAACAAATGCAATTATCGTGACCCGTACCCTTGTAAATTTTGATTGAAGAAATCTACACAAAAAAATTAAACTTTTCGCCTTCGCCGAATATTCAGCGACGGCACAGATACATACATGTGATTGTAAAAAATCTATAATGGCTAGTCAACACACGCTACTAGTAAATATTACTATCGATATTACATCTCCGTGAGGTAATTCTAAATAAAGACTACAAGGGGTGTACTCGTACATATCTGTTCTGAAAATACAAGTCCCTTCGGAAATAGTTTCTTCGGAAAAAGTTTCATCCCACCGTCTGGTTGATGAAAGATATACTATTATAGCTTCAGGCTATTCAAACCTTCTTCAGTAGCTGTATAGGGACATACGTAAGGCCTGGCAATTTCTCCAGTAAACAATTTCCGTTGAAATCAGACAAACATGTTGAATTGTGTTGCAATTAATGAGCTAGCTACCCGACATATTTTCGTTGATTAGCGGTAGTTTTATATTGTATGATTTTCTACAAACGACAACGCATTGCAACTCACAGCTTTCACAACGTCACGTTTCTGTGATGGGTCTGCGTCATCATTTCATACGATATTGACTTCTAAGTGGGAAAACTATGATATTTATGGCACGCCCGTAAGTGACCCACGTGACCGAATCCCAGAAGTCCTAACATTTCAAAACAAATAAACTCGATTGATTGCACACAGACAACCAGAGATCATTAGGACCACTGATTTCGAATCGGGGGAACGTGTAGCGGATATTCACACAGAAAAAACTACTATCGGGTGGATCAAATAAACACTGATTCGAGTATGAAAATGCCCATGAGAAAAAAAAAAGATAAATACATCCAGCCCTGGCGGTCTTGTAGTGTTCATTTGTTATTCCAACTATAGCCACGATTTGTTGTTCTTGTTTTTCATAATTCACGATGACTTACGTCTTGACAATGTTTGTAAGCTTTGCTGTCCAATTTCTTTGACGTCTTTCTTCAAACCCCCAGAGGAGCTAAGACAATTTTCGGAGCAACGGTCGGAAATGGTCAGTTTTCAACTGTCGCCAGCGTGTCTGCTGAAGTCATAAATACGAGAAGCGACGTTTGTGAAGCTTTTAGAAAGTAAAAGGGAGCAGTAGGAACGGCTTAGATAGCCGGGGGAAGCCATAATGCTTCAATGTGGAATGAACTTTCAAAATTATCTCGCTGGAGCAGGTTTTCCCGCGCCAAAAGGCACGGCGCATATTAGGACGCTCGCCCTGGAGTAATGCCCACCTTTTTCTGAACCAACTCGTGCAGTTGCCGAATAATCTATTTGGTGCTGTCATGCCACTGTGAGTGATGTACCTTTGAACTTCACGGTAAATAAAACATTTTAGTCGGTACGTCTGTATGTGTGTGTGCACGTGTCTGTGCCTGTTTGTGCGTGCCTGTGTGTGTGTGTGTGTGTGTGTGCGCGCGCGCGCTCGTGTGTGTGCATGTGCCCGTGTGTGCTTGTGTGTGATTCTTTGTATGTATATTTGATGTATGTAAGTGTGTATGTATGTATGTATGTATGTATGTATGTATGTATGTACACCTGTATGTGTGTGTGTGTGATATGCATGTGCGTGTGCGCGTGTGTGTCTGCCTGTGTATGTATGTACCTGTTTGTATGTATGTGCCTGTATGAGTGTCTTTTGTGTCTGTGCCCCTGTGTGATTACAGAACACTGTCGGGTTGGCCGGGATGGACTCCCACACCGACCTTCAGACTCACAAGCGAGATTACTAACCACTGGGCCACAGTACAACTACAATTCTAAACAAGAAGTAAAAACCCAAACTTTTCCATGTCCTTTCAGCTTCGATGCTTCCCATGTTCAACGAAATTAACTCTGTGAACCCAATTTGTGCTATGTGCTGGCTGGAAACGATAGAAACTTTACGACCGAGCGCCCAATCAGCAGTGTGAAGAAAATTGGAAGAGCTCCGTAATGAGGTACAAGGCTTGTAGACTCGACCCCTGTCAGACAAGATTAGAACGCCCTCTTATGCCTAATACCCATCCAAATTCATTTTGCTGCGATAAGGCTGCTGAAATGGCAGCATATCAGCGAAACATTTGATAGACGCTGATATAATGAAAAGACTTTCTTCGATGATGTTCAATTTCATTGCAATACAAGTCAACGATATCGCAATCTTTTTCTATTAAAGTCATATTCCGTGGGTATGGGTATTTTCAACATATAGCTTTGATTCTCTAGCCTACTAGTAATAGTATGGATACGTTTCAGGCATGGATACGTTGAACAGAATTTGCATACATCTTCATCATTGCAGCATTCAATGACAAACTTATTTTCATGCCACCACCAACGCAGAAGACAATACATAAAACCTAAACCAAAGCACAAATTACGTGCCTATTTTTGGATATC